GAATCTGTCTGCAAGGACAATATCCTCAACATTTTAAAAACACCCTTGCTCAGAATTATCTTTAAGCTTCTACACAAATGTATTAGTAACCGAGTGTTATTGTGCTAGTCTTCAAACCGTAGGTCACCCGTTCGATTCCAAGCTAACTCGTTACAGAACCATGATGCAATTTGTCATTGAATATCAATTAAGATGCCATCGAACTGTATAAGAACATTTAATAAAGAATTTTGAATTTTGATTTTTTTTTACAAAAAAACTACGATGGAAACGGTTTGGACATTTCTATTACCAAATAAGTAAAAAAAAAACAAAACAAATAACGTCGAAAAAAATACGTTAATAAAGAATTAAAAACAAATTTCAACCGAAGTACAATGATACACCGTACTATACCAACCAGCTCAAATACTGTGTCTTTAACAACTTTTCATTGTGAATGGAATTCGGGGAGAAATTATTATCAAGAATACATTTATTACACAATAAGCAATAATATAACAAGCATGTGCAAATACAGTTCAGTGCTTCTTATATCCCTGTTGCATTGTTAGGCTTAACTTAAGTTTGTCGAGTGCTTGTAGAGCACGACAATATGAAGCATTGTGTTCAGGCTTAGCCTGGTGTATGGGGTCGTCCAAACTTGGACGAACTCCTTATTTGATCATTATGAACATGCTTCAGAAACTAAAGTTTTTTTATAAATAAAACAAGTACTTCGAGACAGTTTGAAACTAGATATTTCAGCTTCAATCTGCCCAGTTGTTGGTAATTAACATTCAAGAGGTGTCGATGGAGGAAAGTTTTCAGACCGCAGTCAGAGGCGGTACAAAGTCCAGACAAGCTCATTGTTGAACATTGTGACAACTTTTAATTGACAAGTATCGAAGTTGACTGGATCCGTGATTGGAATTCTCTATTGATGAAACCAGACAATAGAATCACTACAAGCTGGGACACATGCTTTGAAGAGGTAAAAGTGTATATGTATGGGTCTATGAAATTGATTTGGCAGTTAAATTAAAACATTTTTAAATGTAAGTGCTAAGTAAAATGTTATGCAAAAAGCATAACAAAGTAATTTATGTATGAGAAATGTTTCGAGGTTTAAATTCATGATTAAGTGCATGATGAAATGTATGGGAAATTATTCAATTAACATAAGTTTAATTATATATTTGCCAGACTATCATAAACACAACTGAATAGTAGGCTAATATTTGTTTTAAGCCAGTTAAGAAAGAATTAGTTTACGTCTGACTTTTATGAAAACTCGTTTTAATAACTAAATAATAGTTATTGCTTACTAATAATTCTTGGTAAAATATTTATAGCCAACCCTTTTTTCTCTTATTAAAAAAAAACTTATCGCAGTTACATTACACAGAAAACTACACGATAAAAATATCTTTACTTTTTTAGTTAACCAAACTATTCTGACAACCACAATGTTTTAACCACATTTCTTTCCAAATAAAAGTTCTCATCCCTAACGGGGTTGCTTATTTTATATAAAGTTGAAGCAAAAGGGAGTTTAGTGGAGTCAGATCATAAGTTTCAAGTCACGATTTTGTTATATCGTCGTCTCAGCTTTTGTCATTTGAATGGAACGATTGTTGAATTCGTCGAGTTTCGCCATTCATTAAACTTTCTCAATTTTGTCTTATAGTTCAGCCATAGGCTATTACAAAAAGGTAATACAGGGTGTCAAAAAAATCCGGAACTGGCTATACATAAGCATATTCTACATACAACAATAAATAAAAAATGATCATCATTTCTTTTCGATTTTGACTTTGTTTAGCCGCTATCTGCCATTTAGTTGATTTCACTTAAACATTTCTATTTACGTAATGAATTAATATATCAAGTTCAAATTACAGGATGAATGTATAAATCCACAAAAAACAAAATTTTTCCGACTTTTATTTTTTAAATGGTGGCCACTTTAAATTTTTTAAATTTTAATTACTAAAAGATGGCTGAATTTATAAAAAATATCAAGTACACTTTTATTTAGCAATTTTAAATCCCTATCAAACGAAACCAAGTTCAAAAAGATTAAATAAGAAATAGCTGAAATATTACGATTTCTAGTTGTAAAATGGGGTAAACCTGACTAGCTTAATTTTATTCTACCCCATGGTTGGTGTTATTTAGATTGTTTGGTTTCTGGTTTGTTATCGTTTCTTTGTTTGTTTGTTAATTTAATTATTGTTATTTATTATATATAAAAGAACAAAAAATACGTCTGATAACACTTGAAATTATACCATTACACTTATACTGTTGACTAACAGGACAATCGATTTCGATTGGACACTCCAATCATCATCGCACGCAAAGTTAGATATAGGTGGCCATTATTAATATAATTATTACCAAAGTATATGTACTTAATATATTATTTATTCACTCCTCAAACTATAAACTAACTAAATTTATATCCAAGATAATTTAAAGGAGATTTCTTATTGAATAAGTTTATGACTAGGCTACTACAGAGGATGGCCTTGATTGTACTTAAATACATTGTAATGCTAAAAGAGTGGTCAATAAGCTTGATATAAACACAACAATACATTGTTGAAACAAAAAATACTGGGTCGTCTCTAAATAATATGCTTGTTTTTTCCTCTTTACTTAATCTTTATTCTTTACAATGTCCTACAGCAATGTTCATCCATTACGATTCTATAGAGGATGTACTGTATCTTTAACAGCATGCTTGGAAAACTTTACGATATATAATGGATCTTTGTTTATACTTATTATTAAGAGTGTATATTTATTCTTGAGATGTTTTTAAAATTATTTTCAATCATTGGTGTGCAAGCCAATAGTTTTTACTTTGTTTTGTTAAATCTTCGTGTACAGGTATAATAATATCTCCCTGGGTTGTCCTTTGAAACTAATAAAACTTACCAAAGATATTAACCTACCAATCTCAATAGTCAGTGTCATTATTTAATGTAAAATTTATTATATACTAGATTTATTAGTTTTTAAATTCTTAACGTTGTCTTGAAGAAAAAATTACAAATCGCTATAAGTAAATTTGCAGTTTTCCTTAATCCAATTAGAAATTAAGAAATTCGTTGATATTTACATTTTCCTTATTGCTTGTTAGATTTCATTTTATATGTATGTACATTTTAAGGATGTAAACATAAAACCAAAGACATACAAACTTCTCTCCCTCAATCTGTTCCGGATTGATTCAATACACCGTCATCACCACCCTTAGAGGAAGCTTCCCCTACTTCCGGTCTCTCAAATGGCTTCAGCTTCATTTCCTCTTTACTTCATTAAGGACTCGAGCGTAACAGATCAAAAATATCACTTCTTAGCTGAATATTTAAGATACACAGACATTGATTTACATGTATTATACAGTACAAAAACTTTAGAGGAAAAATTTTAGAGGAAAAATTGTAAGTCAGATAATTATTTCAAAATGGCTAAACTCATCAAATCAAGTATAGTTTAAATATTCGATAAAACTAGGACAGAGCCAGCACTCATTTGATGCTTTTACATGGTCAAACAAAACTCTTTGAACTGTTTTGTAAAACAACATATTTGTTAAACACGTTTTAAACAAATAAAAACACCACGGACACCATTGATGTGATATTTTTAAATCGGTAACTAATAACACTTAACTAGTAGACAGCATTGGATTGGAGCAATAAAATTAAATGTTTTGTGTGTTAGCGGGGACTATGTTGTATCTATGGTATTAGGAAATTTGCTTGACTACTATTTTATAAGTCTTCGTTCAATGGTTTTTAAGATTACGGACTTTTCACTCCCTCCAATATATGCCTAGTATTGTTAGTAGTATTGAGAAAGTATTATTTGATACAGAATTATTATTTGAACATTTGCTGAATTAAAATCATCTCATGTACTTGTAGCTGTCTACGTGGTGTACTATATACATGGAACTATGTAACTAGGAACATAGGTTGAACACAGCTTCTTCTAATCTTTTCATCCTCAAAGGTCTAGTAAACGACAATTTTAATATAGGATTGGTTTCTGTACTATGCATGTTTAGTAGTTATCTTTTAAACCAATTTACTCACTTTTCAAATCTCAGTGAGGTCTTGACAAATATTTTTTATTAGTTTTGGGAAAATATATCTTAAATTAAAAATTATTAAATTTAGTCGCCTTATGTATCGGACATGAAATGCGTCAGGTTTTGAACTATACAATAGGATGAAAGTTTACTTGCAGGATCATGAGTCAACGTCAGAGACTACACTAGTGATTTGGTTTTGATTGTGGTCAATGAAAATGTATTCCTATAACCCTATTGGTAAAAGAGTTTTACTTTAAACGTTGCTATTTTGGGTGATTAATAATACTGACTGAGCTGTGTTATAACAATTAGGAGGTAGACGAAGTTGCAACTTTTGAACCAATAAATAGAAAATTAGGTAGAGAGAGTGTTGTTCAAAACAGCATCAGCCGGCGTGTTCAACTGTGTTCATAAAATGTTTGTTTTGATGAAAGCTTTAACGAGTTTTAAACTTCACCACGAATGTTAACAAGCACATCAAAGGACTGTTAAATCAATTGCAATTGCCGTTTAGATGGTTTTGGTTTCTTAAACTACGTTTTGTATTACCAAGCCAATAGAATTAGTTTGTAAAAAAAAAAAAAAATTGATATAGGCCTACCTAATTCTGTGAAAACAAGCTGTATTTTCATCTACATAACTTCCATACGCCAACGATAATATTAAAACATTCTTTAAGGAAACTAAACTGCAAAAAATATTTATTGCTCTAAAATAGCGTCCATATTTTTTTAAATTCAAACAACCTCTGAACGTATTCTGTTTTGTCTTGAATTCGAATTTGTTTGATCAAAAAGAGAAACTGAGACAAATGAAGAAGATTAATTTAATTAATAAAAGTATAATTTTAACTAATAAATTATCACATTAATTTGAGTTTGGTTAATCTCAATGAGCAGTTAAGACTATTTCAACCACTGTTAATAGCGATAGTAGTTTTAGGACCATTTTGTGTGTCAATTTTGTTTGCTGAAATCTTTTGCTGATTCTGTCCAGTTGGAGACACAGTCTGGTTGTCTTGATTCCTTTGCGAATTCTGTACTGCAGAAGTCGCGGGGTTATTACTTTCATCAATTGTACTGCGCCTACGGAATTCAAATATTACTAAAACATTAAATTGCATTAGGTCTATTATTGACTACTCATATATACACCTACAAAAATGCCAAGCTAGAAAGCTACTAAGCAAAATTCACAACTGGAGTTTATGACGTAGCGTACATTCATGTGTGATACTTAGTAGCTGCTCCCTTAGTAGCTGCCAAAAGATTAACTTGAATGGCATAAAAAACTATCTATGTTAAATCCTACCTATATTTGAGAAGAAATAGCATAGTTATACATAATTATGTTGTATACTTTTAGGTATGTATACATACAAAATAAGAGGACAATGGTATCGATGTAAATTCTTTCATTTACAGAAGCAAATTATATATTTAAAAACGTCTCTGTTGAAGAATTTTTTTTACACAAGGCACGTTACTGTACTAATTTCCACTGTGTACATGTTTTCATCGCCAAATGAATATAGAAGTGATGAAAATGAATATAGAAGTGATGTCGTGTTTACGGAACTTTCTACACCTTATTATAATATATTATTGGTAAGTGAAAATATTACCTGGTGGGCCAAAATGTTTGTAGGCCTACTTCGTTTGTAAGAAGTCTTCTAAGAAGAAAGTGTTAGGGGACTGGATTCCAACTAACAATATCTTTTTCATCAGTCCTATACACACTGCCCTTGAACTATTGCGTTCGACAACTATGTTATTCTACCTTCTAACTTCTTCTAACTTCTAACTTCAATGCTCACCTTCTAAGTTCGACGACATACAAGTATCCCCCTGGTCCTACTGGAGTCTGGCCGCCCGCTCTCCTAGCAGCACAGACAGCAGAGCAATGGTTCCAAACAAGACTGCCTAGCAGAGCCAGATAGAGCAGGAAGCTGAAGCAGATTAAAAGTGAGCCAAGGGAGTACCAAAAGTCCGCTTCCTGTCTACTCGAGGAGGAGGTAGAGTTGTTCACAAGGTATGAGTCTCCGAAAGTTGTCACATTTAGAGAGGAATTCCTCATCGGGAAGGACCTCCAGTACCAGTCGTTGAGCCAGAAAGAATCAGGACATCTGTGGTTAATACAAAGGTCTGGAATCATGGCTCGATCAGAATATAACAAAGCTACCATAGAAAACCAGAACAGTATAATGAGAAACCAAAGAAAAAATGAGAAGTAGTGTATCATTTGGCTGTCTCTGTAAACTGCCAAGATGTTCATGAAAGAGAAGAATACAAGTCCAGTGAAGAATAAGTACATCAGGCTTGCGCCGCTGGTTCCATCAATTCCAGCGACGATGTATTCTGCGAAGTTCGACATCATTGAGAGACAACTGATGAATATGCAGAGAATGCTGGAGTTGACGACGAGTTGTTTCGAAAACGCCGTAAATTGGGGAGAGACATTGAACGAGGACGAGATTGGAATGAAGAGTGGAAGTATCATGGTGGAATTTAAAATTGTGTAATATTTCACGGATTAAATAGTTCGTGGAGACACTAAGAATTCACTATTTTCACTGAAGTAAACAAATAAACCTGTATTTGACTTATTTATGTTTTACTAAAACACCTGACTGAAATAATTTAAACATAACATGAGTTTTATGACATATGTTTATAGCACCACTATTCCTCACGATTATTAGAACAGAAACGGAATGGATCATAAACATAAACAAATTACGTCACTGGCCTGAATGTCTATACCAATAGCCGTAACAGCTTGTTTGTTAGTTTCTTGACAGTTTCTTAAGTATTAATACAAACTAGTGTCTCTGTTGCTCGAAATCGAGCAATTGCTAAGTATTACAGACGTTATTTTAAAACAAATAACAGAAATAGTTTTGATGACTTTAATAAAAGATTCGACTCAAAGATTATGGAATACTCAAGATGTACATAACAGATCGATATAATCAACATTTCTTGTAAATAAATATCTTATCATTTTTCAAAAGCTGATTTTTTTAGTGTTTTCTACAAATAGTCACAAATAGCCGCATTAGGTTGTCCATAATAACGATTATATATAAAAAAAACCACATTATTTCTATTTCTTCTCCTTGGTGGTGTTCTATGACTTTTTTATGTTTCCATAGTTTGCAAATCGGCTCTTTCAATGATTACTAAGAAATGCAGCACAGTGTTAATTCAGTTTTTTGTTTAGTATAACAATTTATCCAGGCTTTCTAGTTTTTTCCATTTTAATATTTACGCCAACCCAAATTCAAATAGTAACTATTTCATTTCAACCAAGTAAGTAAATGTTTGTAGCAAACTAACTGTTAAATTAGCAAACTTATTGACTGTGTCTACAATTAACATATGTCCTTCTTCTCACTTTTAATTTCTGACAACAGCTGAAGTTTCATAACAATATTTGTTTCCCATGTTAATCTTATGGAGAAATACAAAAATTTTAAGGGCCCAGGGCCTCACCCTCGAATTATTTCCCAGAAAAGAATGTTTCCTGCACAACTTCACGGTACGCTCTTTCCAATGACACAAAGAACATGTAAATTGGTTCAGTAGTTTCGGAGGAGTAATTGTGACAAAAAACCTGATTGCGTTTTAAATAAGTATAGATATGGTGGTACTTTGGTATTATACCACCCACACCTAAATTGTGTTATATTTAGGTGTGGTTAGGATAAGATAGCCAACTAACCTAACCTAGCCTTACCTAACCTAACCTAACCTAAGGGTAACCAATTTAGGTGTGGTCGGTATGATACCAAAGTAACAACATGTTTACTTTCCTGCCAGTGAACTAATGTTTCGTTATAAAAATGTCATTTTGGGTACCAATGATAATATAGTTTATGGATTATGACACCGTATGTTTTATGTTTATGATCCATACGGGTTCTTTCTAAAATTCCAAATATTTACTATTTCTGACATTTTTACATAAAGATATGAATGTAGAAGCTATGTTGTTTTTATCGGCTGTTTTACTCCCTTCTGAGCTATTATTGGTAAAAGAAAATATTACGGGTGGGCCGTAATGGTTGTACCTCGTTGGTAAGACGTTGACTAACCACTATAAACGTATTGATTGTCAAAAAAATATTTGTTCAGGATTATGTAGAGTATTCTATAGATCGACTATAAAGAAGTACTACAATATTGCTGTAAACTATTTGACTTCAGAATTTACTTTCTTATATGATTTATCTGATTTAAATCTTAAGATAAAAAAACAAGAAAGTTTTGTGGGTGCAGAATAGAGGTGCCAAGAATATCATTTTTGTATAAATTGCTTATCCGTTTTGTTAAGTTTAAGTTGCTCAAATATATTATGTAGGTCCATTTTGCTTTCCATGATGCTATTAAAAATGTTAAATTCGAGGGCATAAATATTCATAAAAATATACAATAAAAAAACCCGAAGTTTCAGGAAATTTAAACCTTGTAAATAAAGTATTATTCATACATCGCATTGCACAGTCTAACAGATTAGAAAGTACATCATATAAAAGTATTTTTCTGTATTTAAAGAATTTTCAACTTAAAGAAAAGAAAGAATGAAATAGTTTGGACACTGATATATTCCTGCAGTAAATCATGGTGGCAGTGACATCTCAGTTCTTGTTAGTTTGATTTAGACCTGCAGTGGTCAACGATCAGTGGTCGAAATATAAATCACTGCCTTCTATATCTTGTGTCTGCTGGATAATGTGCACAGCTGCTATTAGTCTGATTAATATGGATTTTTATTGTTGAAAAGAATTGTCACTGTATATAGTAAATATTTAATGCGTTTAACATTTTTTCTTTGGTTTGCGAAACAAATATATACTTAAATACAAAATTGGAAAGTACACTATTAAGAATTATTGAGTAAAATTATATCTACAGCAATATTTAATATAACCATGAGAAGTACTGTATATAACACGAAAAAAAGAAGTTAGAAAGGTAGTTAACTAATTCTCTATTCAATAACTTAGTCCGTTATTTTTAAGAGCTCAAAAGAATTAAAACCAAGCAAATTTAAGAGTTGTTATACATTTTTAATGATTAAGGAGAAAACAAAAATGTAAATTTTAAGAAAGTTCTACGTATTTTGTTTACCAAATATTGCATTAGCGAGAAGTCACGCAGTGTGAGAATTATAGGGTGTCGTGGAAAACCACTCCCTTCAAAACTGTAAGAACACTTATTTAGAAACTTGCCAAATATGACTCTAGTAAATTACTTTTTCCAAATGACACCGGTAAATACATGTGGGTTGCTGTAGTTGGAAAGAAAAATAAGTCGTTCAAGATATCTTGGGATGTTAGGCAGGGAGATGCTGTACAGGCTTTGCTCTTCAACGTGTCAACTTGAACTCGCATAAATGTATGATTCTACTGGATCTGAGAGGGAACGTCACTCGTAGAATGATTAAGGCACATGCCTATCTTAATCATTTAGCCAACACTCACTAGCAGCATTGATGATCCGAAGGATATGTTTAAGTAGTGGAAATAGACGCTCGGGTATGGGTAGAGATAAATGAACAAAAGAAACACTGCATAAAAATGACTGAGCATATGAAAAAGGATCGGAAACCTGGAAGTAAATAACTGTCTTCAAGGGAGAGGACAGGATTGTTTATCTTGAAGAAAGTATTTTTCTTTGAAATATGAGGCTTCAATTTATGAGGTATAGACAGAAAGAGTGTTCAGTAGGACACAGGGTTGACCATGTTCTTTATAATTTTATTTCACTTGCGTATTTATCGGTCATTGAGCTTCCTTAAACATTTCCTTAATAAATTCCTTAAAAAAAGCTTCCTTCGAAAACCGTTTTGTAAATTATTCGAACTTTGCTTTTGTTTAAAATGTTTTTATCACTTTAACTTATGTAAATCATTCCATAATTGAAGTAATTACCAAACACATAATTTTCCTATTTATTTCATATACGTCTTTTTCGGTAGAAGAATATTTGCTTTTAAAATAAAATAAAACGATCAAACATATTTTAATTTGTTTTGAGGAAGAAAACGACATCTATTTCATAAACGCAAACTATCTATTATACGTCCGGGTAGTCTCTATGGACAGTATATTTTCACTTAAGAAATGAGCATGTTGTTAAAGGACTGTTTGGTAGTTGACTGTGTGCTATGCTCAATATTTTGTTAGGACCGTCATAACATAAACCCATGTATATTATGGGGGCACTTGCTATATTACTCCCGTAATGGCGTATGCGGTTATTATCGTTCCAAATGTACAAGCTGTAACATATTGATATGTCGTATCCGTACCATAAGTTTGACTGAATGTTTAACGCTATAAAAGGTAATTCTATGTAAAAACAGGTATAACATTACAGACCAAAATTGACCAACGGTTGAATGGATTCCCCAAAAAAGTTTAGAATAGTTTTAGAAAAACAACTGTAAACAATTGTACAATAAGATAGCAAATAATACAATTTTCTTTAGAAGATTCAAATTCCCAATAATACTAACCCTCACAGACAACTATGCAACAATGCATATCAGCTGATTGTTATTAACTTAAAAAATAGGGATACCATCATAAGCTTTTTTTGTCGTAAAAAATTCTCACAATACTTATCATTTGGGTTACGTATAAATAAAAACCTCATGTATTTCGTAGGTTACCATCTATGGTATGCTTAGAACTGCCAAAAACAACAAAATACTCTGATCTCCAGGATACAATACCTACGTCATAATGTATATTTAGGTATACTAGTATCCCTGTTGCTCGAATTCGAGCAATTGCTAAGTATTACAGGCGTTATTTTAAAACAAATTTCAAACAAGTCAGCAAGTTTGTAGCAAACTGTTAAATTAGCAATCTTATTGACTGTTTATAATTAACATATGCTCTTCTTCTCACTTTTGATTTGTGACAACGGCTGGAGTTTCATAACAATTTTTGTTTCTAATGTTAATCTTATGGAGAACTACGAAACTTTAATGGGCTCCATGGCCTCACTCTCTAATTATTTCCCTAAAAAGAAAGTTTCCTGCACAACTTCACGTTACGCTCTTTCCAATGACACCAAAAACATGACAATCGGTTCAGTAGTTTCGGAGGAGTAATTGTCACAAAAAATCTGCTTGCTTATTAAATACGTATAGATAGATTTAGTAGTAGTCATAACTACTAAACCAGCACTGCCAAAAACCACAACAGCATACCACCTAACACTGCTTACGCAATCACCTTAGATCAATCACAAACAAAACTATTGCAAAACTAGAGACAGTTTATGAAACATTTACAACTTTGCCCAGTCTGTCAGTTCAGTTGTAAGGGCTATGTTGCGGCTTAACTCCTTGCCAGCTGTTCGATTCTGACAGCTGACGATCTAGTGGCTACCTCAGCCCAAAGTGTTATCTTGTCGACACTTCGTGAATTGTTGAGAAATACACTTTCCTTGAACCATAGATTTAACACAATAACTTTGAACAGCTGGAGGTTAGTTGCTTCTGGATTTTGAATAAGATGGTTTGTAGTTCACTATTTATTTATTGGTATTTAACTTATTTTCTAACACATACTTACTTACT